AGTATGAATTCAATACGATCAGCAACGCCGTAAATTGTTGCGTTGTGTTTTGCGATAGCTAATCTTATTGGTGATATATCAAGCGCGATTACTAGACGTCGAGCGTCCGTCAGAGGTCCGTAAAAGCGTTAGAACTGTACTTACCTCGTTCACATGTTTGGGCGAAAGCGATCGCGTTCCCACCGACTCCACAAAAAGCATCAATGACGGTATCGCAACGACACCGTTCAGCAATCTGGGTTGCTATTTTTTCAGGAGTTACGCTGTACCAACCTTCCTCGTCAAGAAGGCACCCTTCATCGTATAGCGAAAAATATCGATGTCGTTGGTAGAAATCTATCGTACGAGGTTATTCTGTGAGCTTCACCTGGATAAAGAGTCGCGCACATTTTTTGAGGTGCTGCGGAACCTGCTTTTGTGTTTTATAATGAGGCGCGGCGATTCTCATTTGTTCATTGAGTGTGCTTGCAGGAGTAATCTTTACCACTGCCGAATCAGGAGAAGTAGCCGAGCCAGAGGTCCTCTGTTTTTTGAGCGGAAGTGGAGATGCGGCCAAGTCGACCGAGTCGAGAAGATCCTCGTCTAGGTGCGTTCCTGGGGTAACTTGAGCCACATGAACGCGCTGAACAATCAGGTCACCCGAGTCATTAGGGGCGAATGATTGAGAGCCAGCCTCCTCCGTAGTTTGGTCAGGCCGCGCCGAAAACGCGGCTTTAAGATCAGGAGGCAACGAGGAGAGGACCGAGGCAAACCCAGATTTACGCTTGCGCGCCATTAGCTTAATCCGTAAGAACTAACAAGATATTTCGTCCAAAAAAAATAGGGCAAGCAAGAGATCAGCTAGTCGCCAAGATACTGGGAAGGGATCAGAGGGTGTGCCTAAGTGGAAGTGGGAACTAAATTGTGCGACACGTGACTGGCGCGTTCTTGAGACGCGACTCCATCGAACCAAGCTCGTGAAGCAAAACCCTCCGTGCATCCTCCAACATGGCAAGTTATCCAGCATATAAGATGCCCTGATACTGAACCGCTGCCCTAGTCGTCCCCTATGCGTCGACGAGCGACTAAACGCGCGCGCTCACCTGATGTAGGGTCTTCCCCACCTCCGCCCACTCCCGATGATGAGAACCTGCCACCATCTTCGCCTCCGGCCCCCTTTTCGGATGCGGACGATGACCTCGGTGGGATGGGTGACTATCTCAACTTGGATGGCGGGGATGTACCGGTTGAGGACGAGGACGAGGATGGTGAAGGGGAGGATTTGTATGGCGACAATCTCATGGAGTAAGTACTCCTATGCGTGGTTTATCCTTTCTCTAATAAAACCGAACAGAGACTACGCTACGGATGCTGCTCTTGATCGATACGACACGCGAGACATTGATGACGATGAACAAGGAGATTTGACTGCTGAGCAGCGAAGGGCTGCCGAACGCGACATGGCTCTGCGTGATAGGAGAGAAGCTCGACGCGGCCAGGGTGGTCGAGCGGCGCGTCGTAGTAATGCTCCTGACTTTTTGCGCGATGAGGATGAGATGGACGATGAAGATGCCCTGGATGGCGGTTTGCTCAGCGATTTGACGAAGCGCCGTACCAGGAGGCAATACGATGAACGTCAGAATGTTGACGATGCTGCGGGTACAGACGGAGTAAGTAGATAACTTGCGACTTTTGGATTATCTGACGAGATCGTGTCAGGACGAAGCCTTGCCCATGCAAGAGTTATCTCAGATCAAGGCAGGCTCTATCGTCGAGTGGCTCGCTACGGACTCTGTTAGGCGATCTGTTGCAAAGTTCTTCAAGCTATTCTTGCTCGAAATGACAGACGAACACGGCGATAGCGTCTATGGACAAAGGATTATCCAGGCTGGCTCAAGTGAGCATATTTCCCAAAGCTTCGGGAGCATACACTTATCGTTTGTCTAGTGAACTCCGAATCGCTTGAGGTTTCCTATGTGGACCTTCTCCAGAAGATGCCGACCCTCGCATGGTTCCTGGTCCTAGCTCCCGCAGAGATGCTTGCCATATTCGACCCAGTCGCACTTGAAGTAATGACCATCTATTTCCCTGCTTACGAGCGGATCCATTCCGAGATACATGTACGTATCACCGAGCTACCGGCATCGGCCACCCTGCGCGACCTCCGAAATGCTCAGCTCAACTCGCTCGTTCGCGTCAGTGGAGTGGTAACAAGGCGGAGCGGGGTGTTCCCACAACTGAAATATGTCAAGTTTGACTGCAACAAATGTGGCGGCGTGCTCGGCCCGTTCTACCAGGACACCACGAAGGAGGTTAGAGTCAGCTTTTGTCCCAACTGCTCGAGCCGAGGGCCATTTACTGTCAACTCGGAACAGGTGAGCACTTATACTCTAAGGTGATCGAGAATGCTTAACCCCCCGTAGACCGTGTATCGAAACTACCAGAAAATGACTTTACAGGAGTCGCCTGGTTCAGTTCCAGCCGGACGTCTTCCTAGGCATCGCGAAGTTATTCTTTTGTGGGACTTGATCGACTCTGCAAAGCCAGGAGAAGAAATTGTGCGTCGTTCTGTTGGCGCTCGTAACGTTGGTCTAATGGTACCTGCAGGAAGTTACCGGGATATACCGAAACAATTTTGATGCCACACTCAACGCCAAAAACGGGTTCCCCGTGTTCTCCACCGTGATTGAGGCCAACTATATCAACAAGAAGGAGGATCTCTTTGCTGCATTCCGCCTGACCGAGCAGGACGAGCGTGAAATCCGGGAGGCTTCACGGCAGCCCGACGTTGCCAGGCGAATCATCAAATCTATCGCACCTTCAATTTACGGCCACGAAGATATCAAGACGGCTATTGCGCTTTCACTTTTTGGTGGGGTTCCCAAGGATGTCAAGCGCAAGCATCGTATTCGGGGTGATATCAACGTCCTTATGCTTGGCGATCCTGGAACTGCCAAGTCCCAATTTCTCAAGTACGTCGAAAAGACGGCCCACCGCTGTATCTTCACTACTGGCCAAGGCGCATCCGCTGTCGGTTTAACAGCTTCCGTGCGCAAAGACCCCGTGACGCGAGAATGGACCCTCGAAGGTGGTGCACTGGTGCTTGCGGACAAGGGCGTGTGCATGATCGACGAGTTTGACAAGATGAACGACCATGACCGAACGTCAATTCACGAGGCAATGGAGCAGCAGACGATATCTATCTCCAAGGCCGGCATTGTAACTACGTTGCAGGCTCGTTGCGCAATTATCGCAGCAGCAAATCCTATCCGAGGACGATACAACCCTACGATCCCTTTCCAGCAGAACGTGGAGCTCACCGAGCCGATCTTGTCCCGTTTCGATGTCCTTTGCGTCGTGAAAGACAACGTGGACCCAGTTGTAGACGAGATGCTGGCACGGTTCGTGGTCGGGAGCCACGTCAGGAGTCATCCAAATGCATCGGGCGACGAGCAGCAAGTTGCTCTGGCCACTGGAACTACTATTGACCAAGATGTAAGTGTTCCGATCAATAGGCCGAACTAGTTGCTAACGTCACCCCAGGCGATGCCGCAAGACTTGCTGCGCAAATATATCATGTATGCTCGTGAAAAGGTCAAGCCCAAGTTGCACAACATGGATCAAGAGAAATTGGCGAATCTGTTTGCGGACTTGCGCCGCGAGTCGCTCGCCACTGGCTCGTTCCCGGTGACAGTGCGTCTGTTGGAGAGCATGATCCGCATGGCCGAAGCGAGTGCAAAGATGCACTTGCGCGAGTATGTGCGCTCTGACGACATTGATCGAGCTGTGGCCGTTGCTGTTGGCAGCTTTATCAGTGCACAGAAAACGAGTATCAAGAGATCGTTAGAGAGGGTACGCATTGCACTTTTCTGTTGGACACAGTATCTTATGCAATCGATCGGTAGGGCTTCCGCAAGTACCTGACAAACGCTCGAGATCACCAAGAGCTGCTGGCATTTTTACTCGGTCAGTTGGTCAAGGACAAAGTTCGGATTTTCCAGCTTCAGCAAGGCAACCCTCCCACTGAAGTGCTTGTGCCGCTGCTTGAACTCGAAGCCAGGGTAAGTTTTTGACTCTAAAGTTATGGCTATATGCTTACAACTCGAGTAGGCCAAAGAGCACGACATATTCGACGTCGCTCCGTTTTTACGTTCTCGCTTGTTCTCTGCGAACGGGTACAAGAATTCTGGTGCCAACATTGTCAAGACATTCACGGTTTCCAACGATTTGTAATTTCGTACCCGTCCCAGCGTGATGACGATGGTTCTTGGTTTGTTTGTTTGCCAGTTGTGATGTTCTATAATTGCGAAATTGCCAAGGTTGTCGTCCGTGTCTCGTGGATAAATGCATCACACATTAGCTCATGAATGTTGTCGGAAAAACCCAAAAGGAAGAAATCTTATCCATAGGTTGCCAGCTACAGATAAGGCTCTGGGCAAGGTCTCTAACTGCCCGTTTGTATCAAGGGGGGTACAGGATCTAGGCACTGGACATGAGGGCTGGTGGGTGGGTGGGTGGGCTGAGATAAGATTGCAGTTTTTTCCTATGTCACACTGCAAAATGCAGCTCTCTAAGACAATCAACTCACTGCAGGGCAATAGGACATCAGGAAAACTTGGAATATTAATTTAAGCCTAAGTCCTAAATTCACATAGTTTTGAAAACCCAGCTAAATTTATCCTAAATTAAGGTCATAAATCCCATAAATCAGCCTGAATTTACCCCAATTTAGGCACCCCCCCCCCTGATAAATTTAGCTAAATCCACACGAATGAAAATGAGGGGAATGGGTAAACCTTGTAAACCCATAAATTCAGGTAAATTACAATCATTTAGCTAAATGAAAATTGACCCTTTTCTCTGATGTGCTACACAAGGATCAGGGCAGAGATTCAACTTGCCTGGATTGACAGCCCCCTTGTCATTGTTGGTCAAAGCTGTACTGCTGGCAACTAAACTTTCAAATGATCAGTCACCCACCCCCTTTGGCAAAAATTTGAAGAGTATTGGGCTCAAAAGGGAGGGACAGACGCGATTCGAACGCGCGACCTATCGATGGGTGTCGGTCACGTCATCGACCACGTGACATCACTGCAATCGATTGCTCAACCACTGAGCTTCTATCCCATATTACATTTTCGAGAACAAGCTCAACGACTCAAGCCACTTCTTATTTACCCGGTCCCTACCAACCGCTTGGCGCTATCGATCAGCGTTCGGCATCATTTCGGCTGACTGGGCAATGCCTATCTTTCCCTTGCCGAAACCAAAATTCATGGGCGTGTGCCTTGCGGCAGTAGCTAGGCAAGCATGTGGTCGGCCAACCCACGCGAAGCACATGGCTTCAAAAGCCCAGCTGAAACCTCGTCTTCCAGCATTCCCCCTCGAATCGCTTTTTGTGAGTCTCTATGTTCCATATAGGCCTCCCCCACTAACTCGACATTTGTAGCATTCTTTGCGGCTTACCGCTTTCATTCTTTTGGCTTGCTGTGCAGTCGACCACTTTCTTTTTTTACTCGCAACTGGATTGCTACTTTTGACGGCCGGGTGTCGCCCTGTTAACGTCTCAACACCAGTCTTTCTTCAAATCACCGTCTATTCTCCATGCGCCCTTCAATCTTCGCGTACGTTGCAGTTGCGCTAGCTGTCGTATCGGCGTCCCCCAATCGGTCTGCCATCACTCAGGTCAGTTTGCCCCACGACAACTATCAATATGAACTGATTACTTGACAGTCCGCTGCTACCCCCACGAGCCCCGCCACCGTCACCGTGACCAAGAATCTGACTTCAACTGTCATTGTATCCGGCACCTCTGCTCCCCCGAGCACTACGACAAGCTCTGCTACCAGCGTCACCGCAACTGCCAATGCTACCTCTCCCGCGACCACTTCAAGTGCTGCCCTGGTCAACCTCCTGTCGTCTGCAACAGCCTGCAACACAGCTGGTGTATCTGTCATCACGTCCGTAGTCACACAAGTCAGCACAAAGACTGTCGATCACTTTATCACAGTTACGGTCGGCGCGGGCTCTGGAAACAGCTCCGGGTCAAAAGGGCAAAACGACAACCTCGGGGCAACACCTTCCAAGCCTACCGAAGCTTCACCCACCACCGTTCAACAAGTACGTCCATCCTCTCGATTGACTGTATCCAATACTAACACTCTACTCCCAGTCTTCTGCTCCAGTCGTCACCACGATGACCACAGCCAAGCCAGTTACTACAGTCGTGGTCGAGCAGACTACGACAGTCTTTGTGACTTCATTTGTGACAACGACTGTAGAGGTTAAAGGCGGCGCGACCCGCACGCACACGGCTATGGCGACGAGGACTGTCACCAAGACTGGAATGGCCACGCATACACGCACCAAGACATCGACCATGTTGGTCACTCTAACCAAGACCAACGTGAGTTGCGAGTCTGCAATGCTTAAAATTTTGCTAACTCTCGGATAGACTTCTACTGCGACTAGTTCCGCATCGCCAACTAGCAAAGCAGGTGTCAAGGATATCGAAACCACCTCCAGCGCTGCACTGACGTCCTCGAAGCCGTGCCCCACCGACCCCGTCACGTTGACAGTCACACGCTCTGCTTCACGAGCTGCCACTACAACTAGCAAGGCTGGCATCAAAGACTTGGATACCTCGAGCTCAACCCGCCTTCGGTTTACTACCAAGACCCGTGGTACAACTTCCTTGCAGACCGCCGCGTCCAGCTCGCAAGTGGTCACGACACGAAGCTCAATCGCAACTGGCTTGACGTCTTCTACAAGATCCACACTCACAACCGACTCGACGTCCTCTACAAGATCTACGCTCACAACCGACTCGACGTCTTCTACAAGATCTACGCTCGCAACCGGCTCGACGTCTTCTACAAGATCTACGCGCCGCAACGGAAACAGTCGGACCTTGTCTAGCGTAGCCGCTACAGCGACTACGACAGCCGCCAAGACTACGTCCATTTCAAGCGCAGTGACCACTTCGACTAGCGCGACAACCACCGCCTCGAGGTTCTCGACTTCCATTATTCGCACCTCTGGCACTATTATCCGCGCCAACACCCAGACGAACACTGCGAGCGCTGTAACAGCGACTGGCACGGCAGATGCTGGATCTAAAGACCCACAGACCTCGTTGACGCTCGATCCTAGGGTTATCATGTCCAACTTGGCCAACGATGGGCAAGATACTCCGTCTCCAGGCCAAGTAGCCTCTCTCACATCGCGCAACAACTTGTAAGTCCGGACTCATATCTCGAAAGAAAGATAATAATTCCTCCCTAGCATCAACTTTTGCGAGACGCAAAACGTCCCGCTCACCAACGGACAGCAAATCAAGGCCGGTTCCTGCAACGGCGTGCCGATGGGACGTATCATCAGCGTGGACAAGATGCCATCGTCCAAGTTTGTGTTTCCTCCAAACGGCGGGACGGTCAAGGCAAACACGTCGTTTACGATCAAGATGGCTATCAGGAACCTCAAGACGGGTAACTTTGTCAACCCTGCGACGAACTACTACTCTGCGCCGGCTCAGACGACAGACGACGGAACGCTCATTGGCCATTCGCATGTGGTGCTTGAGCTATTGACTTCAAAGGACCAAACCAAGCCTACCGACCCAAGGTGAGCATGCATTAGCCTGGACTCTCAACCCTAGCTTATCTTTCGTATAGGCAATTCGCGTTTTTCAAAGGCATGAATCTGCCAGACGTGAACGGGATCTTGACCGCCGACGTTACCGCTGGCCTGCCTGCTGGAGAGTACCGAATGGCTAGCATCAACTCTGCGGCTAACCATCAGCCTGCTTTGTCCGCTGTCGCCCAACGTGGAAGCAACGACGATATCAGCTACGTGAGTACCGTGATACAATCAACTTGGCGGTTATCTCACCTGCTTTTCTCTAGTTCACTGTGGTGTAATCCTTGTTTACGTGGGATGCCTGTTGTTGCACCGTGCTGAATGTAGTTCGGTTCGCGCATTTATTTTATTTTAATCTTGAAAACGCACTGCATACATCCGAGGGAGTTTTGCTAGTGTTGGGCATATTCAATTAAACCCAACATTGACACATGACGCATGGGATCTTAAACTCATCTCATTCGGCCACCAACTCGGAGCTCACTCAGGACAGTCTCAGGACTAGGTCGTATTATCAATGTTTGACTATTAGGCACGTCTTTCAGCTCAGGTAAGATCAATATATCCGCAACAATCGGAGTGTTAACCCAAAATAGACCAGACGACGAACAAGATCATACAAAAGAGTGATAAAAGTTAGGACCAAGAATACACGGAAACTGAACGAATGAATCATTGATGAAGCAAAATAAAGAAAGTGTTTAACTCAACGCCCTTCGAATGTCCTTGCGTTCCCTAAACACCGTTGCGACTTCTCCCATAGTAGTCGGCAAAGGAATCGACAGGGTCGCAACAGGCACGCTGTTCTCCAACTGACGCTCGTCAACCAGGCCTTCGCCCTCGAGCATCATCTCGACTGAAATGTAGTAGCCCAACCCAAACCCAGCTTCCTCGTCCCCAACGCCACGTCCGCCCCCGGGACTCGTCAACTCTGCCATCCGCTCTTCAACCGCCACGCGCAAAAGTCCTCCACCGCCTCGCCGTGCAATCGCAACTCCTGCGTTACGCGCACAATATGCAACCATTTGCGCCCATGTGGCCGCCGCAAATGATGCATGAGCGCCAATGCTCAACATAACGAGTGCTGGGAGCGCACGGAGCGCGCCACGGTGCGGAGGGGACGTGATTCGCACGCGCACGAGCGGAAGAGCGAGTTGCGACGCGCCGGATCCACCACGCGGCGCGTTGGCTGGCGGAGGTGCCAGGGACATTGGCGAGCCCTGGGGACGCAGTAACGCGGAATTCCTTGCGTAAGACGCAGGTGAAGGTTGCGCCGAGGTAGGAGGTGATTCCGGTGGCAAGAGCCTAGGCGAATTTTGGGCGCGTGATGCGGGAAGCGGAGCGACTGAATCAGCAGGCGCATATGGTGCGAACGTGTTGGGTGGTGGTGGCCGAGGCGGGAGTTCTCGGCGCTGGGATTTTCGTGCAGGAGAACCAGGGGGCGGGGGAGCATCGCTGATAGGCGGACTATCTGACAGGGGAGACAGAGGACGCGACGGAGGATCGACTACTAGACCTAGTACGCCGCTTGAAGGTGCACGTTGCGCAGTGGTGATATAATCTGGACGCGGAAGAGCGTGGCGAGAAGAGTATTGCTCGAGCGCGGCTGGCGGAGGATTAATGATGCTAGCAATCAACGCATCATGACGCGCCTGCTCTAAGCGTGACACTTCCTCCACGGGGTATCGCGTAGGTTGTGGTTGGGAAGGGGCGGGCAACGTCGCAGAACGAGCAGGCTGGGGCAAAAGTCGAGATTGAGAGCTAGGCTGAACCGACGACGTGGGTGCACGTTTCGGTTGTCGTGGTGGTTTATTCTTGGGAGCGTTTTCAGGTTCCAGTCCCAAGGCCTGAAGATAGGCCAAGGCGCTGTCATCACTATCCTCTTCTGGAAGTTCTGGACTTGGCTCCTTGGTCCTGGGTGGTTTCGCAGTTCCCCCCCGGCCTCGTGTGTCGTTGTGGGCACGGATGTCCAAATCGTCCACAAACGTTCTCGTTGGATGCGGCGCACTTTTCTCTCTCTGCGTGGGCGGGGTTGTTCGAGCGCGTGGCGGGGACGACTGCTCGGGGTACCAAGTTGGCTCTGCCGAACGAGAATTCGACTGTGAAGGCCTACCAGGACGCGGTTCCTCCGAAACATGAGGAAACTCGGAGCGATCAGACCGACCATGTGGGTGCTGGCGTTCGGGTTGCTGAGGTGCCTTGGGCATCTGCTGGATACGCTCCCGAAGCGCCTCAAACTGGGGTACAGCCCCTCGTCCGTAGCGGGTGACAAGCTCGGACTCTAGCTGAGCGATCGAAGCCCACATGTCGGGCGTAGCAGTATGAGGGTCCGAAGAAAGTTCGCCATGCGAGTGGGCAGCACGAAGGGGGCGGAGCTGTTTCGGCGCCGGGGAGGATGGCGGAGTAGGCATAAGAGGCGGAGGGGAGAGATAGTTGTCCTTTGGCAACGGGGATCTAGACCGCGGCTGCAGAGGGTGAGCATAGTAGTC